CATGGACCATCAAAAACAGATAAATGGGTTCTAGGTCAAATCAAGCTTGAACACTCTAGAAGCAAAAAATGGCTAAACCAAGGACATATCATGAAAGACTAATGAAAAGAAAATACTGGAAGAAGTTGAAGACAATAGGAAAAAAGGACTGACTAAAATAAGATGGACTGACACAGTAAAGGAAGCCATACTTGAACAGGGTTCTTATTGATAGTTTTTGTAGGTCACTAATTCATAAATCACAAACAACTTGATGGCATATAGCAACAAGATTTTTAAAGCTTATTAATGGTTGTAAGAAAAAATGTGGTATGTAGCATTCATCTGTGGACCAAATACAATGGTGCTTCGCTTGACGACATTAATCTGTTCCAGCGAAATCGCTGTAGAGTGAAATCGTCGTCAAGCGGGGGAACCACTGAAACGCATTGAAAACCGGTTGAATGCGTTCCAATGGGCTAAATACCTAATCGTCCAGTGAAGATCCTGCATAGGCTGGCCATTTTCCGGTGCCTGTACAGTGAAAAATCCATCCTAAAAACAGTGGGGAGCCATTTTGCACAGTGGGTGGCCATTTTGAGAGCTGCCAATCAGCTGTTTTAAAACCATCGTTAAGTGAAAAATCGGTTCCCAAAGCAGGGAACCGATCATCATTAAGCGAGTTTTTCCCATTAAAACATCGTTTTACGATCACAAAAGCGATCGCAAAAACCTCATTGTCAAGCGGATTCGCCATTTAACGAGGTAATCGTTAAGCGAGGCACCACTGTACAGGATTGGTATACATACAGGTTATGAAATATTCCTTGTGATTGAAATTTAACTTTGACGTCAGATATATGTTATGTTAATATGCATGGTCTCCCATAAGAGTTGCAGAGGAGTTTGCACATGAAAGAGAGCATGAAACAACCAAAGTTAACCACTTCAAATCCCACTCATTTTGAGATGCGTGGTTGTAAATTGATGAACATTGGAAGTGCTCAGGTTTATCTAGATCAGGGGTTTTAAACTCAATTTACCTGGGGGCCGCTAGAGGCAGAGTCTGGGTGAGGCTGGGC